ATTTGATTTAAATTTTCGGTTTAATCCAAATAGTGTACACCTATTGTATAGTGCAAGTGCAATGAATGTTAATTCAAAAAAGAACCTTATATTTGTCCCACACATATGCATATAATAAAAATAAATATTTTTTTTACTCTTTTCATGCCCCTATTCTAAAGACACATTGACGTGTATAGGTTGGTGACAATGAACTACTAGGAAAAAAACAAATTGGCAAGAATTTGCCACGTGGTTTTAAACCATATAATATAAAAGGAAAAAGGTTACTTAAATAATGAAATAAAATAATGAGGGTATTTCTCTGTGAGTTGGTTGTTTACCTACCTATTTTGGGAAGGATGAGAGTAGGAACTATCAACTTGTTCATGTCTAAAGAAACGTTCTACTCGATATTTATTCGTGATCAATATTTATATCAAATAATTTAATTTTAATAGTTTAAAATTAAAGGTAGGAATACATGACATTTAATAATGAATATGTGTATGATAAAAATAGTTATAATTATTTATTGAGATATAAACCTTAAATGTGAATAAATTATCATGATACGTATCCATTTTCATGTGGAACATTAATTTGTTGAGATAATGTTGGAATACTTGAAGAAAATGTAGAAGAGGCTAGTATTTTGGTGAAGGATAATGGGAGATATGATTGAAATGTCTTCATCTTTGATTAAAGATTTTGATATTTAATTAAGAAAATAGAAAATTCCTTGATAAGAAGTAATTTTATTTCATCTAGAAAAGTTCATTGTGCTTAAATCTCGATTAGCTAAACAAGTAGATTATGTAGAAAACCTAAAGCAAAAAAAGAAATGACAGCATTTTAAATATTTCTTTGAGTATCCAATAAGTTATTCCATTTCGGACTTGGGAATATCACATACTTTAGGTATAAAAATAAATCTACCAAAAAAAGTCAAAAAAGTACTTGCTTAGAGCCCTACTAGATATGAGATATGAATTTGTGATTTGAAATTAGATTAATTTGAAATTGAAGTGTGTGTAATTTGGATTTGTAAACTTATACTTTCATAAATAAGCTACAAGAATATCCCAAGACGTTGCATCGATAAATCACATATCTGCATGTTCCTTTTATAAATAAATATTTGTAATTACAAACTTTCAATTACACATAATTTTATAAAGATTCACTTGTCAACAATAGTAAAAACAAATTATTCTTTAATATAATCCATTTGCATATTACAGACAATCTCTTCATGTCAAACATGAATTTTTTTGTTAAATCTAAAATGACGAGTCTTTTTTTTTTTTACCAAATATACACTTATGAATCAAAGTTTATGTTTTTTAAAAATAATTAAATCCTGATTTGAAATCCTAAAATGCATGTTCAAACGTTAATTTAAAATCAAACTTTATATCATATATCTATATTCAAGCTTTAGTATATTTTCTAATACTTTATGTTAAAGAGCTTGTACATGCATGCATCATATTTTAGTATAATGAAAGAAAATTTTTGGGAAAGGAATGCGTATCGACTTGCTACTTTTCACCAAATTAAAATGCTTGTAACTTGTCACGGATTTTGCTAATAAGGTGATTAAAACTCATATCAATTATCATGGAATTATTCAATGAACTTGAATGAAAAATATCTTTACTCGAAATGACTTGCACCAAGCTTGACAAATAATGTTGTATCATATTAATTGGATTCGATCCACCCTAGCCGCTAATTACATCCTATACTAATTTTTTTCTAAATTATAATAATTTTGGATTTTTCAAAATTTGCGGATATATTGCTCTTTCACCCTAGAGTCTAGACATAGCAAAGGATACATAAGTTATGTCTCAGATATATAAGTTATATACATAACTATAAACCAGATTCATACTGATTTAGGTTTGAAATAATTGGGGTTATGTATCAATAATAACATTTGTATAGATACATTGTATACAAACAAAGTTGTAATATATCTGATAGAGGTGGAGTGATGTATCCGAATGTTAAGAGAGAGAAAGGAAAAAGGAGATTTTTATAATTCTTTCAAATGATAGAGATTTTAGAGATTATGTTATCTTAAATTACATAATTTTCCTGTCTAGAAAATCTGGCACACTAATGTATCAATTATGTGTCCAATTTGGCAGGTTGTAGCCCAATATTCAGAAGTTGGCAACAAATAGTATTATTTTAGCTTTTGGGCCAAAATGAGTAGTCCATTAACATTGTCTCTCTCTCTTTCTGAAAAATATATTTCAATTTATTCTTTTGTTTTCTTAAAATATATCTGTATTGTTATAAATATATTTGTGTTTTAGTGAATGTGGATTCCTTTGGAGAAAAATTAGGAATCCTAGGGACCAATACAGTTTTCCTTATAAATAAATCGGTTTTTCCTTCATTGTAATTAATCTATGAATATCCCTCAATCTCTAATCTTTCGGGAGAAATACAATGACTTCTCTCTACTTTATTCTTCTTATTGTTTTATATAGTTTCATAACATGTATAGGTTATATAAAATCTAAAATTATGTTGCCATATAGAATAATTTGAGATTAAATTTGATTGTGTTTATTAAGTAAAAATCAATGCAAAATTATATTATTTTATTACGAGGACCAATATCGAAGACCGTTTATAACATTAGACATGAGAAATATGTGTTTTAATTTTCAAATGTAGGTCTCATAAATTAGAAGCAGAATATCTAATAAAGGTTAGGGTTCCATGTCGGCCGGTTCGGCTCGAATTTAAAGTTTATCGACTTGACTTATTAGTTATCATTTTGTAGATATGTTAAATTGCAAGATATTGGCATATCAGTTATCGGTCTATCAATTATTGATCGTTATTGGTTTAACGTAAAATTTGTCACAAAAAAATATTGAACATCACTTAGAAATAAGGTGAAAAACCAAATGAACCATATACATGAGTTGACATATTATTTCTTGTTCTAAAGCAACCACCTTACCTATTAGAATAACCAAGAGTTTGAGACAGTTAGAAATAAATGTATGAAACTAAACCCTAAGTCAAGAACTTTATATAACGAATGGTATACGTATAATTTATTATCCGATTATGGATTGATTTGTTAATTAAAAACCTCAAACCACTAAGAACCAATAATTCGATAATTAAAAAATCAAAATCGTTACCCAAATCGCTAAATCAATAACTTATTATCAATATATTAATAACTTTTTTTTATTTGAATTATTGATCTCGATTCGATTTTTAAACATCCCTAATAAAAGGTCGACATAATACACCATGTGACATAGTCCACCTTACAACAAAAGATGACTTTTTCACACCATGATTTGTAGGAGTGGACATGGATCGGGTTTGTACAAATTCTATAAATAATAAATCAAATTATTTATGTCACATTTTTAAATCTATAAACCAAGCTTAATCAATAAAAGTTGAATTTTCAATGTCATTATTTTCGATAAAGTCTTCATACAAACACATACATAATAAAAGATTTTGATTTTTTAATTAAACATTATAGATTTGCCCAATCATTACTAATTATAAAGATCAAGAGGAGGTTAAGTTACTGAACTTGTTAGTGAAATGAAGAGAAGAAGAAGAATCAGAAAGAGAGAATTCTCATTGATTATCCTTCAAGTGTGTATCTACTAGTTTGTGTACAGAAGTATATATAATGAGAGTTAAAAAGGAATCTTAGTGTAACTAACTTCTTGATTGGAAGTTATAACTAACTTAACCACTAAGATGACTAACTAACTAGCTTAGTGCTGTTACTATTTTGTCCTTCAACACTCCCCCTCAAGCTAGATAGTGAGAAAATGTTACAAGTCCCTAGCTTGGAATTAAGATATAAATGTTGCACAATATTGAGGCCGTAAGCAAATCAGCTGGTTGATCCCTTGTTGATATGTACCTTGTTGCCACCAATCCTTTGTCTATTTTTTCCCTTATAAAGTGACAATCTATTTCAATGTGTTTGGTTCTTTCGTAATAGATTGGATTAGCTGCAATTTGTATAACAACCTTTCTATCTGAGTAGATATTTGCAGGTAGTTTCAAGTTCACTCCCAACTCTTTTAGCATACCTATAAGCCATATTCACTCTGACACCGTGGTAGCCGTACTCCTGTATTCTGCTTTTGCAGAGCTCCTTCATATTGTAGTTTGTTTCTTAGACTTCCAAGCTATCATGGATTCACCAAACTTTACGATGTAGCCTGTTACTGACCTTCTAGTATGTGGACATGAAGCCCAATCTAAATCACAGTAAGCTGTTAGTGTAGTGTTCTTGTTGTTGGACATTAGAATGCGTTGGTTCTTCACATACCTCACAATCCTTAGACCAGCATCCATGTGGGACATTTTTGGTTGTTGAAGAAACTGACTTAAAGTAGTGACCCCAAATGCTATATCAGGTCTTGTCACAGTTAGACACAACAATTTCCCTATCAGTCTTTGGTATGCTCCTTGATCTACTAGTGGATCATTTGTGTTGGAATTTTCTGAGCTTCCTGCTCTGATTTAATCATCAAACTGTTTGGTTGTTAACTTGACATTTGTATCCAATAGGGTTGAAGCTGGTATGGAACTCCTGAGTCCTGCCTCTGATATAAGTTCCAATGTATACTTCCTATGATGTATAAGTATACCTTGGTCAGACCTGGCAAACTCAATGCCTAAGAAGTACCTCAGTTCTCCAAGGTCTTTCATTTTGAAAGCCTGTTTTAACTTTCCTTTTGTTTCTTCCACAACTTTTAGACTGTCTCCTATAACTAGCATGTCATCCACATTTACAAGAATAATCACTATTCCAGATTCATCTTTCTTGATGAACATTGACTGATCATAATCACTTTGTCTAAACTTTAGCTGCAATAGTGCCTCAGACAATTTAATATTCCACTGTTTAGGGGCTTGCTTCAACCCATATAGTGACTTCACAAGTCTGCATACTTTCTTCTCCCCATGGCTTGTGAATCCCTCTGTGGCATTTCCATACATATTTAATTAAACAAGTCCCCTTGAAAGAATGCATTAAATACATCAATTTGATGCACATGCCAGTGATTTTGTGCAGCTAATGCCAACACAGACCTAACAATCTTCATCTTTACTATAGGAGAAAATGTCTCCTGATAGTCAATTCCTTCTTGTTGGCTGTAACCTTTAGCCACCAGCCTGACTTTAAACCTTTCTACCTCTCCTGTGGATTTATATTTTACTTTGAATATCCACTTGCACCCTATTGGAGTTTTTACTTCAGGAAGAGTTACGATGTCCCAAGTATGATTGTTTTGCAATGCTTCAATTCCAGACTTCATAGCTTCTATCCATCTTGGATCTTTTGCAACTTCTGCATAAGATCTTGGTTTTACATTGTTTGAAAATGCAGCTATGTAGGCACTATACTTGTTTGATATCTTATCATAACTCATGTAGTTTTGAATACCATAGCCTGAACCCTTATGAATGTTGAGAGATACAAAATCTTTCATCCAAATAGGTGGTTTACTGCTTCTTGCAGATTTTCTATTTGGTTGATTGTCATCAGTAGTGTCATGACCCAAGGGTATACCCTAGGTGTAACATGGCGTACTTGACCCCGAAGGGGTCTCATACAAGCCCTTAGCATAATCATAACATAAGATAATAGAAAAGTATGGAAAATTTAAAACTTCTTTAAATTCATACAATCGAAACCATTTTCATAAGCAAGCAGAAGTCTTTACTATAACTTTGTCTCAAACCATCTATTAAACTCTTGAATAAAAGACTTGGGATGCAGCCCATACAATGTCTAAAACATAAAGAAATGACATAAAGGAATAATGGGTTTGTCCTCGAAGCTATGAGGACTCACTAAATCTTCAATTTTCTTCTTGCTTCATAGAAACCTTGCCTTCAAAGGAAATCAATCTCCAATACCCTACATTTGATTAAAATGTAGGCAAAGTATGCGTTAGTACAAAATGTACCAAGTATGAAAGCTAGCACAACATCATAAGAGCATCTCAAAATGGTTAGTCAACATAAGACATAAGCATAAGAGACAATAACATAATCATAGCATAATCTCCAACATTAGCATTATATAATCACAAGTCAACATAAGACATAGTTAATGAGCATAGGAGATAAATCATATTCATGGCATAGTATTTACTTAAACCTTCATATTTACATACTTCAACCTTTAGCCTTTCATATTACAAGAGAACTACTTCACAATCCACCTCAAAGAATACTTGTGCAAGGCAATAATAGCATCCCATAATACCATCCAAGCTAAGTACCTCTTTTTGGTCACTCTTGGGCATAGTCCACATTCATAGTTAAGACCTAGGTTTTCACGTCATAAGAGCACTACACTCTTAAGCAACTTCAAGGCACACTTGTGCAATGCATGAATGACATCCCATAATACCACTCACACTAAGCGTATCTTGACATCACTCTATTCATGCTTAGTAGTCATAGGTGTCATTCTTGACCTACTTCATAAAGACAAGGAACTATCATCTTAAGTCAATAGTATCATGAAAGGCAACTATAGCAACAAACCAAGCTAAGTATACATCACATAAGAGAACACTTCATAAGTAGCTTCAATTCATACTTGTACCATGTATGAATGGCATCCTATACTACCACTTACACTAAGTACTTCTTTAAGCTAGCTTACTCAATGCTTACTATTTATCATTTTAGACTATCAAAGAATAGCACACTACTAGGCTAGACCTAACTACCATGGAAAAACACACTAATATGTAAACCAAGCTATACAAGGAAGAATACAAGTATTCCAACCTAGCTACCATGCAAACATTCAATATTATGCATGCTACCCTTAGGGGAGTATGAATTCTCAACCCTAGGCTGTCCTTAAGAGAGTATGAATCCTCAATCCTAAGCTACCATGAAATGGTCTTGGCCTAACCAAGTCATGCTACCATGAATGCATTCTTACAATGCTAGTTCAAGCTACCCATAGGAGAGTTTAAGTCTTCAATCCTAGGCTACCATGCCTATACTAATGCCAGCTACCATGAAGAACATCCTACAAATGCTCATTCAAGCTACCATGAAGAGCATCCCACAAATGTTAATTCAAGCTAACCTTAGGTGAGTATGGTTCCTCAATCCCAAGCTACCATGAGACCTTCTAGCCCATGCTACTAAGTCAACTATACATGAAGGGATCACATGTCACACTTCAAGCTATTCTATTCTAACATACTTTGATTCATTTTAGGTGATTAACCTTTCAATCTAGAATCATTCAATGTGAGAAGACCTTTCACATTCTACATACAACCATTCATATAGTTCTAAGTAGGTCATGTGGGTAAAAGCCTTCCACCATAACTCTATCTACTTGTGTACCAATTCATGCAAGCTATCTCATTATATTAGACTTACTCTATAAGCCCTAGTGATCAACATTATGACTTTAAGCCCTACTATAAAGCTTTACTCCACAATCATCATACTAGACTAGATCACAAGACATATTAGTTACAAGCCTTAGTCATAGGCAACTCTAAGCATAATTCATCATAAGTCCCAATTCCAACCACTACAATTCTTGGTCTATTATACATTCATAGATCTAGTTCAATTTATGATTTCATATTTGTATTCTTGACTAAGTTCTATACATGATAACAATTCTAGAGAATCTATCAAGAATCGTCAATTTCACTTCACAAGACATAACTCCACATACTTTGATTTCTAGGGTTAATCATGGAATTCACATACATTCATCATAATATCATGAATCAACACTAAATTAATCATATGTAAGTATTATCCAACCAATTGGAATCATACCCATCTAAAACCCATACATTGGAAGTAATCCTAGCTTAGATTGGGGTTCTTCTTCACAAATTAGGGGAGATTCTAGTGGACTCTATGGGTGGAAGAACCCATATATGAAAAGCTAAACATACCTTAATCAAAACCCTAGTACAAGACTTTAGCAATGGAGCCTTTGTTCTTGACCTTAGCTTCAACCTCTATCTTCTTCAATTGAGGTTTCTAGAGAGAGAAATATTTGAGAGGGGAGAACTTTTGGGATGTTTTGGGGGTTTTGATTCTAAATGACTTAGTTGGGGTAGGTAATGACTTAAAATAATTTATATAGGTGAATAAAACCAATATAAAATGACTCCCCACCTAATACTAATTAAAAACAAATTTACTAATTTAACCCTCATTTGGATGCCCCTTGCCAGGGGTCACGCCCCTCTTCACGAACTGTCAAGGGTACCACGACCCTTGGTCCCTTGACCAGTGGCTCCCCTCAACTTGCCAAGCTCCCAAATGTCAAGGCTTGACCACGAGCCTTCCCACGAGTCGTGGTCATGACCACGGGTCGTGAAGTGGCTCGTGGTCCCTAGGCAGTAGCTAGGCCTCAAGGCTTGACTTCCCACAAGACTAAGGGGTCTTCATGGACCCTTTCACGGACCATGGTCAGGACTACTGGTCGTGAACCTTAGGCAGTACATGGCCAATGTTGGGCAGCCTTGGCCTTTTGCTTAGGTTTTGCCCCCTTGCCTTGGTATTTGCCCTTGCTACCCTCACCCAAACCTTAGGTGGTCTTCCATACTACGAGGTCTAACACGTACCTTGACGTTTAACCTTTAAGACTCTTATTCTAAGTACGAAAAGTCTCATCTACGACTATATTCCTCATACATCAAACTCTAGAACCCTAGCTTGAGGCTCTAGTTTGGTCTAATAGTTTCTGAGGTGTTACAAGTAAGTGGTTGTCCCAGCAATGGCTCTTCATTCAACCCAACCCTTAGCTCATGCAATGGCTCTTCATTCAACCTAGCCCTTAGCTCACCATCATGTTGATCTTCTTCTATAGTTCCATCATTTGTTGTCCTTGACTTTCCTTCAACACTTGTACATTGTTTAGACTGGTGAGTAGGTTTCACAATAGGAATGTTGGACCATTGAGCTGAATGATCTAAAGTTGAATGAGTGTCTTTGAACACATGATCTGATGTCTTTTCTTTGATAAATGGAAATACTGTTTCATTGAATATTACATCCTTGTTAATAAAAAATACTTTATCAGTTAAATCATATAGAATATAGCTTTTCCGTACCTCTGAATATCCCATATGTACAAAAATTCTAGATCTTGATACAAGTTTAGCATGCTGATTTGGCACTCTAGCAAAGCATAGACACCTTAATACTTTTAGATGAGAAAATAAGGTTCTTTGTCATAGAGTTTACCAAAAAGTGTTTTACCCTTTAACACTTAACTAGGTAGCCTGTTTATTAAATATGCTGCAGCCAGGACACAATGTCCCCAAAATTTTATAGGTATATTAGCCTGCAACCTGATGACCCTAGTTACTTTCAAGATATGTCTATGTTTCCTCTCAGCCACTCCATTCTGTTGGGATGTGTACACACATATAGTTTGATGAATAATTACTAGTTGTTTTAACAAATGATCACATATTAAGTTAATGAAATCAGTTCCATTATCAGTTCTAACTATCTTTACTATGTTATCAAACTGATTTCTAGTATAATTCATAAAGTATATAAGTGACACACAAACATCAGACTTATGTCTCAAAAGAAACAGCCATGTATATCTTGAGTAATCATCTACAATTGTTAAGAAATATTTGTGTCCATCATATGTATTAGTTTTGTAAGGACCCCAAAGGTCTACATGAATCAATTCAAAACAACTATTACTTTTTATATTACTAGTTTGGAATGGTAATCTACACTGCTTAGCACATGAACAAACTACACAATCTCCTATTTGACTTCTAATATTAGTAAGATCAATAACAAACAATTTGTGTAATATTGAAGTAGATGTGTGTCCTAGTATTTTGTGCCAAAGACTCATATCTACTTTGATATTTGATACACCATTAGACTCTTGAGCAGCTAAGCTGCTAGGTCTTCTTGCATCTTTACTCAATAGCCAATATAACCCATTCTCTTCTTTACCAATCTCCTTTACCTTTCCAGTGAAGAGATCCTGCAAGACAAAAAAGTCAAGAAAGAAAGAAGTAAAACATTGTAGCTCTCTTGTTAGTTTTGAAACTGAAAGCAAATTGAACTTAAACTGTGGTACATACAACACATTAGAAACAATACTCTCATCATATATAACACTTAATTAACCCAGTGTGTGTAACTTGTGTTTCATCCCTATTAGGCAGTTGTACAGTTCTATGATTGCCTATTTTATTAATTGACAATTTACTTAGCAACTCTAAGTTTGAAGTCATATGATTAGTTGCTCCTGTATTTATAATCCAAGTAGGATTGTGGGATACTGTCATAGCCATTGAGTCCGCCATAATACCTGCAGTATTTGCAGTTGTGCTAGACACAAGATCATTTCTGACTTGAGGACTGTGTTGAGTTAGCAATTGCACTA